CAACTGTAAATTGTCTAAAACACTTGGAGATAAAAAAGGAATATTACAACAGACGGAATCACCCTGCCTCTGAACAAAGACTGGTCCAGTATAACACAGAGTGAGGAAAGGCACTCCAGATTCATTCAGTGAGGAAACAGCATGTGGAATGAGGGTGTTTTTATCAAAATTTTAGTTCCTGGTACCTGTGAAGCCAGCCAGCTCTGCAACAGCCTGAACTTTTGGCAGAAAACCTACTTCATTATTAGCTAGGAGAGGTAACAAGTACTAAATGTTGACCCAGGTTCATGGTTTCTGATTTTGTTGTGTATTGTAACCATTTGTTTCTATTGCTCGCTCATGTTTCTAGGTAAGTCTCCATTCTTTTAAAATAAACCTACTTTTGTTTCATTACGAGCATTCACAAGGTGTGGGGTTCATAGCACACAAGCTGTGTGGTTTAAAGTTAAACTGGGATACACGGCTCCTTTGGGGGCTGAGGATCTGGGATTTCTGCGAGTAGCCAGTATCAGGGCTGGCTATCACGGGAAATGATTCAAAGGGACTCAAGGTCAGGGGTGCACCTCTTGTTAAGCTGCAAGGCAAAGACAGGGCTGGCCTCACCCAGAGGAGAGGGCCTGAGTGGCTGACAGACTGATGGTGTTAGGGAGCTAACACCCTGTCACAGAGTGTGGGGGAGTCAGGGCCCTGCACCCCCCACTTCCTGCAATACACCGTGACTCTCAGCCAGCCAGTAAAACAGAAGGTTTATTAGACAATAGGAACACAGTCTAAAACAGAGCTTGTAGGTACAGAAAACAAGATCCCTCTTGGGGGGGGTGGGAAGCCCAGACCCAGGTTCTGGGCCTTCCCCCATCTCCCCAGCCAGCTCCAAACTGAAATGCCTTCCCCCTGCCTCCCCCAGCCACACCCCCAGCCCCTCCTCCAGCCTTTGTCCAGTTTCCAGGGCAGAAGGTGTCACCTGGCCCCAATCCCCCTCTGGGCTCAGGTTATGAAGGGCAGCCGTCATCGTTTACGTGCTGGCCGTCAAGTACCATCCTTCAGTGAAGTCACACCCTTATTTCCCATCCTCATCTAGTATTGGTGCAGTACCCCAGGGAAACGGAGGCACACCCCGTGTTAGCAGAAGACAATAAACTAGTAAAACTCCCATGCAACATTACCAGGTTAATACTCCATACTCCATCACACCCCCTGACCCCAGAGCAGGCTCCCCGGGAGCCATTTCAAGGGGGAGGGCATGACATGGGTATACAAACCCCAGCCTGGACAACATGGGTGTTACCAGCTGTGAGCAGTCGAAGGGCGGCGAGGAGCTTAGGAGCAGCTGCAGACCCCAGAAACCAGCAGGAGGAGACGGGAGCATCACAGCCTCCCGCACCAGGGCACCAGCCAGAGCAGCAGCTGCCCCTCACTGCCCGGCTCTGGCTTCCGGACTCCAGCCTGGCCAGTGAGCGGGGCCTCGGGGAGGGGGAGAGGAGGAGGTAGGGCCTGCACTTACCTGAGGATGAGCAGGGGGTGAGGCCATGGAAAGGGGCGAGGCCTTGTGGTGAGGGGGGGCACAGCCCTCCAATTTTCTGTCTAGCCCACCTCAGTCCCCCCACCAAGAAGAGGCTGGCACCACCCCGCTCTTTGTGCTTTTTATGGGTTTCATGCGTAGACTGCGTAGACTGTTGGTCCTTCATCAGTTAAGACTGAACCGATCACAGCACATCTTCCACTCTTCTCTCGCTCTGGCCAGCCTTCACCATGTTTGTCCATATCTCCTTGTTAAGAAATCATCCCACCTCTTTGGAGGCCGACCGCGTGGCCATTTCAGTTCTCGCAGATACCACTCAGATATAGCTGCAGTCCATCTGTTGTCACTGAGTCGGGCCACACGTCCCACTCACCGCATTGTGCTGAGCCTGCTTTCGACAACAACATCTCGGACTCCAGATTGCTGCCTAATTATTTCATTGGGTATGCAATTGCGGAGCAAAATGCCCAAAAATGTTCGTTCCATTGCCCTCTGTGTGACAGACAGTTGATGTTCTTCAGTCTTCATCAGCGACCATGTTTTGTTGCCATATAGCATCGTTGGAAGCACGGTCGAGTTAAAAAGATTCGCACAAGTTGTTTTGCTGATCTTTCCTTGGAGGATGTCCCTGATGTCGTTGAATGTGCACCATCCAGCTTTTTTTCTGTGCGACAGTTCACCTTTCTGATTGTGGCGCATGTTGACTTCCTGGCCCAAATAAACGTATTTGTCGGCCTCTTGGATCTGCTCTCCTCCAAGAGTTATTTGGGTTGTTGGCAGAACATCCTATCTCATATATTTCATTTTTGACTGGTTCATTTTTAATCTGACTTGACTACTTTTCACGTTCAGTTCTTTAAGCATTCTCTCAAGCTGGACTGTATTTTCAGCTATCAGCACTATATCATCTGCAAACCTGAGATGGTTTAGCCACTCGCCGTCGATATTAATCCCGCCTTTCAGGTCTGCTCGTTGAAAGACCAATTTAAGACAGGCTGTGAATAATTTTGGTGAAACTGTGTCTCCTTGTTTCACACCTTTCTCGATGGGGATTCGGAGGTGAGTATCGAACAACCATATATCCGTGCTGCAGCCAGAGTTCGCTTCCTTTAATAATGTGATGTATTTTGCGCTGATGCCCTGTTCTGAAAGAGCTTTAAAAACGGCGTTAGTCTCCATGCTATCAAACGCCTTCTCGTAGTCCACGAAGGCGATGCACAAAGGGAACTTGTATTCCCTTGAATGCTCTAGTAGTTGGTTTAGAGTGAAGATGTGGTCTATCATGCTGCAATTTCTTCGAAAACCAGCCTGCTCCTAGGTTGTTGTTCATCAAGGTTTTGCGACAGTCGATTTGTTATTATTTTGGTGAACAAATTATAGACATGCAAAAGCAGGCAGATCAGGCGATAGTTCTTTAGATTTTCTCGATCGCCTTTCTTATGCAGCAAGATGGTATTGGATTCTTTCCAACTGGACGGTATCTTCTGGATTTCCAGATAACGGCTCAACCTTGGGGCGAGAGCTTTCCAGAGTTCCTGACCTTCCATGGGTTTCATGACAAAGGATAATCAAGCAGATCTTCAGACTAAAAACCATATCACTGGGCCTACTCTAACTTCGCTAAAATAATTAAGAATTAACCAATCCAGTGAACAAACTGAGATCGACTCAATATATCAATGGGTTAACATCGACGTTGGCTTATCATCTAATTCATGGTTTGGCCACATTAAAGCACACCGGTAGTTCACTGTCTATCCATAGGTGCTCTGTCTCAAAACAGGGTGTGCAGGCAGAGTATGTTACAGACACGTCCCCAAAACCCAGCCCCTTTCAGCAAAATCCCATGTGGAGGGCTGAGTGTTACTGGGGAAGTTAACTGTGCTTTCCTTAGGGGTGGGGTTCTGATTCTAGTTCCTGAGTAATTTGCTCATCCGTTCCCTCAGTCATGGGCATTACCTCTGTTCCCAGCAATTCCTCTAGAAAGAGGATCACTTCTGCTCCCATGTCTAGGAGCCCTGTACACATGGCAGCAACTGGCATTTCCATTTTGAGGTGCCCTTCATTGGGGTTTGACTGGTTGAGTCTCTACCGCCCTCTGCCCATTCTATGGTCCACCTTCCGGCTGTTTGCCAGCACACCCAGACTGCTGCAGGCTAGACACTTCGGGATGGGGAGCAACCCATCTCATTTTCCCCAACTGTCCCCTAGTGGTTCCCTTCCCCCTGGAGAAGAGTCACCAGGATGCAGACACCTTCAAGACACTGTTAGAGCAAATGAAGACGAGAGGGCACTGCCAGAGCTGGTCCCAGTGCCAAGCCAACGCAAAGGAGAGCTGATGAAATGACCTGAGGATGAACCCCGGGAGGTTGACCTGCCTCCAGAAGGGGGTGGATGGGTAAAGACTTAGCCAGTCAGACCCCTGCATCACAGGTGTCAGCTGAAAGGCAGGAGTGAATGTTGGACAGGCTTGCATGAGTTTGGAAAGAGATAATAGAAACAGGACTGAGGACTTGGAGTCTGAAACAAAGTGGCTAGTCTAAGTGCTGGAGGATATGCTATAAAAACGTGTATTATTCACTCATCAGGCCACCAGCAGTATGACGGGGGCAGGGCAAAATGGTCCCAGGTCAGAGGCGCCTACCCCAAGCAGCTGACTAGAGCCTAATACCAGATCAGGTGGGGTCCATTCGTGGATGAGTCCAGACCTCTGCTAGCACCTGATATAAAGTCACAGTAGATTTACTGGTTTATCCACTTGCTACCCCCATAACCCTCTTCCCGAAATGCTCCCTGTTGGTTCTTCCTTCACCCACCCACCCACTGCATCACCCACCATTGCTCGAAATGTCAGCATCATGGAGGTTAAAAAAATCCAATGCATCGTAGGGCCAGCATTTTTATTGTAACTGCAGATGCAGGAAGAGAAAACAATCAATAGAAAAGGTACATTGGCTTCATTAATGCACTCAGCTTTCACTGAAGTTGAGATTTCATGAGATAAACAGCCAAATCAGACTTCAGAGAGATTTCAAAATGCACAGAGATTTCAAAGCACTCTAAGGCATTTGGCGGTAGAACTCTTACTGCAGAATGCTATATAATTTTGCAGGGTACTTCAGTGTTGATCTGTGGGTGTCATACAAGAGAACTTAAGGCAAAGACGGTGTTCTATTTTGACAGGAATAGTGCACTAGGGGTGCACATCAATTTTCCCTCTGTTTTTTTACGTCCATGTGCATGAATTTTGTTATGTGCACCAATATGGTGGTGATGGGGGAGGGACTGAGGGGTGCAGGAGGGGGCTCAGGGCTGGGGCAGAGGGTTGGGGTGAGGGGGGTAAGGGCTTTGGCTGGGGGTGCGGGCTCTGGGGTGGGGCTGGGGATGAGGAGTTCAGGGTGCAGGAGAGGGCTCAGGGCTGGGGCAGAGGGTTGGGGTGAGGGGGGTAAGGGCGTCGGCTGGGTGTGCGGGCTCTGGGGTGGGGCTGGGGATGAGGAGTTCAGGGTGCGGGAGGGGGCTCAGGGCTGGGGCAGAGGGTTGGGGTGCAGGGGGTGAGGGCTCCAGCTAGGGGTGCCAGCTCTGGGGTACGGCCGGAGATGAGGGATTTGGGGTGCAGGCTGCCACAAGGCTGCATCGGGGAGAGAGAACTCCCCCCAGCCCTATCTCACTGCAGCAGCCCGGGGCTGGTGGAGAGGCGCCTCTTCCTGCTGCAGCAGCTCCGGGGCTGGGGTCGGGGGAGAGGCGCCTCTTCAGTCCAGGCCCCTGTGGCTGCACAGTCACACACCTTAGAGGGAACTTAGGTGCACATGTAATTATGAACCTGCCCCCTACCCATCTGACCCCAGCATACCGTCCCAAACACCCACCCTACAGTACCCCCACACACATCTGAAAAAACCACAGCCCCCCAACCACCCATTGAAGTACAGCTCAACCCATGAATGGTACAACATTCACCCCTCATACTATCAACTCCTAACAAACACAAACATATTTCCTTGGTTATAGAACATTCATTATGCAGAACTATGCTCTAGTCTCAAAGGAGGAGCACAATGCATCCCTAGCCCTGTTTCCTTGAGCAGTTGGGATACTGGGCAGAGTCTTTCTCTCTGAACATCCATATCGTTCATAAGGTCCCTCCAACTCCCACTCCCACCCATCCTCCAGGATTTCCCTGGCTCTCACAGTTGTGTAAAACACAGGAGGCACTTATCACATGAGGAGCAGAATCATGAGATTCGTAAGACACCATCACCCACCTTTCATGCTGCACCTAACTGCTCCTTTCTCTTCTTCAAACATCCAGGGAAAGACTTCATATACCCGGGACCCACAGGGCACCTTGCTGCTCCCCCCGAGGGGCCTTAGGAGCTGCAGAGACACTCAGACACAAACTACAATGGAGCATTTTTACCCCTCTCCTACACTGGAAAGTGTGTGTGGAACCCACAGAAATGTCTCCCCACTAATCTCATCTCCCCAGTGCCCAGCAGTTCCTCCTCCTCTGGGCCCCACCAACCACCCCCCAAAGAAACCCCAACCATCCACTCATCTGCTGTCCCTACCCAGACCATCCTCAAAGGAAGCACATTTACACTTTGCTTCAGGAGGGCACAGACCCATTGCCCCACGGGGAGAGCTCCCATCACCTTCTATCCTGTGTGCAGTTTCCGGTGGGACATCAGAGAGACCTTCACCTTTTAGCTTTTCCCGCAGTCAGGACATTTATAGGGTGCCTCTCTTGTGTGGATTTTCTGATGCCTTTTAAGGACTGAGCTCTGGCTGAAGCTCTTCCCGCATTCGGGGCAGTCATAGGGCTTCTTTCCCGTGTGGATCCTCTGATGTTCAGAAAGGTTTGAGCTCCGAGCGAAGGTTTTCCCACACTCAGAGCAGTTATAGGGTCTCTCTCCAGTGTGGGTTCTCTGATGTACAATGAGGCCTGAGCTGTTACTGAAGCTTTTCTCGCAGTCGAGGCATTTATAGGGTGTCCCTCCTGTGTGGATTCTCTGATGTGAAATAACTTCTGCGCTCTGCTTGAAGCTTTCGCCACAGTCGGGGCATTTATAGGGTCTTTCCCCAGTGTGGGTCCTCTGATGTACAATAAGATTTGATCTTTGCTTGTAGCTTTTCCCACACTCAAGGCATTTATAAGGTCTCTCCCCTGTGTGGACTCTCTGGTGTGAAACAAGGGTTAACTTGTGACTGAAGCTTTTTCCGCAGTCAGGGCATTTATAGGGGGTCTCCCCCGTATGGGTTCTCCGATGTGTAGAAACTGCTGAGCTCCGACTGAAGCCTTTCCCACAGTTGGGGCATTTATAGGGTCTCTCCCCCGTGTGGATTCGCCGATGTAAAATAAGGGCTGAGAAACCAGCAAAATCTTTCCCAGTTATAAGGTCTCTCTCCTGTGTGGACTGTACGATGTGAAAACAGGTCTGATCTCAGCGTGAAGGTTTTCCCGCAGTTGGGGCATTTATAGGCTCTCTGTCCCATATGGATTCTCTGATGAACAATAAGGGCTGAGCTCTCACTGAAGCTTTTCCCACAGTCAGGGCATTTATATGGTCTGTCTCCTGTATGGATTCTCTGATGCTTAATAAGGTTTGAGCTCTGACTGAAGCTTTTCCCGCAGTCTGGGCAGTTGTAGGGTTTTTCTCCTGCATGGATCCTCTGATGTACAAGAAGATACGATCTCTGATGGAAGCCTTTCCCACACTCAAGGCATTTATAGCGTCCCTCCCCTGTGTGGATTCTCCGATGTACACTAAGGGCTAAGGTCTCTTTGAAGCTTTTCCCACACTCGGGGCAGTTATAGGATCTCTTGTCTGTGTGGACACTTTGATGTACAATAAGAGTTGATCTCTGCTTGAATCTTTTCCTGCACTTTACACATTCGTGCGGCTTTTCTTTAGTGCTTAATGTCAGCTGGAACACAGTTTCATTATGACTTTTGAAACCTCCCCCTCGGTGAGTGGCTATAACCTGTCTCTTCCCTGCGTGGTTTCTTTGCTGAATCCTGGCCTGTGCTGACTCTCATGGGCATCTTCATGCTCAGGATTCTGGGAAATGTTCCCTTCAGATCTTCCTGATACGATCCCACGCGGTTCCACTTGCTCAAGACCTTCCTGCTGTGGATTCTCCTCCTTGTTCTCACTCACCGTCCCCTCACCTGCTGAGACAGAGAGAGAATCCAGACAGGAGTCAGTCCCTGTGCCGAGGGAAAGGGGAACGGGAAGATGGGGAACAAACCAAAATAGCTGCTGGGGAGATTCAAAATCCAGGAGCTGACCTCCCCAAACCCTTCCCCAGGGCTGAAACAGAAGGCAATGACCAATTCAGTCTCCACATCCCATCTGAACACTCAGGAGGAAGGGAGCTACTGCCAGGCCTCAGGTAGGGTGGGAAGCCATAAGCGATGTGTGCCAGGAGAATATGACACCTACTGGGCACAATCCTGACCTGAAGGAGATGAGGCAGAACTGGGGGAACTCAGGGGGCTTGTATGGGAATCCCAGCTGTTTATGTCAAGGACGGATGGTTTCTGTGTTCGTTTAACCAATTCCTCACCTGCGCGAATGTTTCTAAGGATCTGCCTTTCCTCAGAGCCCTGGTGATCTGGGGTCCATGGCTCTTCACCCTGTTCCATCTGGGAGATCATGTCGGGTTTTGGAATTGGAAATCCTGCTTGGGGGAAGACAACAGGTGAGACTAGGATTTTACCGTTGTTCTGAGACAGCTGTTTCCAGATGTGCTGGGTGGGTGGATGCCCTTGTATATACCAAAGGATGGGGAAGTGTTCCTGGAGATTCTTTGGGGAGGGCAGAAGGGGATTCGGGGATCTCCACACACTGTGGGGTTTTATGACTATGCAACCTCTTCCCCTTTCCTAACCCAGCAAAGACCAGAGTCTTTTCCAGGCATGGAGCCAGTCCCGGGAAGAAAGGGACACACAAAATCTCCATGTATCAATGTGTGCCCATGTTTAATAACACAGAGAGGTACATGCAACCCATCTTCTCCCTTGGAGATGGGGGGTGGGGTTGGGAAAGTATTAGCATCCCCACTGTCTCCCCAAAACTCTTCCATAGGCAGAGGTGTGAAGGAGATAGCATCTCTCACACAGACTATGGGGCTGATCCCCCTGACATTTAAGGAATCAGGGAAGACCCCTGAAGAGAAGCCAACCCTGGGGAGGGGGAGACATTTCTGAAAGCTTTTGTGAAAAACACGCTGTTTCTGCAGTGAAACCGCGATGCCCGGAGCTGCCAACTCCCGTGATTTTATCTTGAGTCTCATGATATTTAGCTGGGATATTTAAACATTTCCTTGTGATCTCACAATTCCTGGGAATGAATCGGCACACTCTCCCTTGTTCAACATGGCCGCCCTCTCCCATTACTTTCAGGGGGGCAGAAATCAAATTGCCTTTATTCAAGATGGCCACCATTTCCCTACAATTTTGGCATGTGAAAGTTAGACTGCCCTTAACCAAGATGGCCACCAACTCCCTTTGTTTCCAATGAAGTGGAAGCCAGGCTCTGCTCAGGTTATATGGACAGGAGATTAGACAGGACACTAAGAGTGGAGAAGGAAATGTGGGGAAAAGAGGATGTCGGGGTTGGGTGGCGGAGGTGGACTGGGCTGTGTGCAGTGCTACATGGTGATGGAGGGGGCTATAGGGGTCTGCGTAGCAGCAGCAGGAGGATGAGGGGGTGGAGAGGGATTTGTGGGGGCCAGATCGAGCCTGAGGGCAGGTGTAGGGGGATGTGTGGGAGGTGTCAGGCTAAAAGGAGCACTAGGGAATATGGGTACAGGAAGGAGGCTGATGGGGGCAGAGGACTAGGAAGTGTGGTGAGTGTGGGGTGGCAGCCGAGAGAGGTAGGAGACTGTAGAGGGAAAAGAAGTGAATATAGGGGCAGGTGGGCAGAGGAGACTGTGAGGGAGGGGCCGGCTGGGGCAGAGAGGAGACAGGGAATGGGGTGGGTGAGACACAAGGGCAGCTCCTCCATCCCAGGAGTAGGGGAGGGTCAGTCCCCTTGGGAGCATGGAGGCTGCAGTTTTGCATGTGCACTGTTGTAGGGGGAGTTTTGCACCTGTAATAAGATGTGCGCACACACACACGCACGCATGCACACAAAGGGCAGGTGCACTTGCGCGCGCACACACACACTGGGAAGGGCACACACTTTGTGTAAACTAGTGTAAACACACACACACACACTACACGGGCCGGCATGGGCACGCGCGCGCACACACACACACACACACACATATATACTCTCTCTCTCTGTGGGCAGGTGTACACACACACACACTCACTCTACATGGGCCGGTGTACACACAGACACACTCTATGTGGGCTGGCACACACACATACACACAAAGCTACGTGGGCAGGCGTACACACACACTGTGGGCAGGCACACACACACTCTACGTGGGCTGGCACACGCACATATACTCTACGTGGGCAGGCGTATACACACACACACACACTATGGGCAGGTGTACACACACACATTCTCTATGAAGGCAGGTGTACACTCACGCACACACAAACCCTGTGTGGGTGGCTTTCCGGAAACAGACCCAAAATGCAGAAGGTAAATAAAATCACCCCCAAATGTATTCTTGTTTAAACCTTGTGATAGTCGAGCCCACCGCCTGACTCCCAACCCAGAGTGACTCCTGGCTGCTGTGTACTTTGGGCTGGCTGTACGCCTCCGAAGTCTGCAAGGGCATGCCCCACATTAAAGAAAGCCCAGTTCAGGGATTACATTTCTGGTCTCTTCTCTTTTTCCATTTCCTGCCCCTCTCCCTCCAAACAACTAGACCAAACCCACAAGCAGCTCTCAGAAAATCTACCTGCTCCAGCTTCTCTTCAGCCATTTCCCTTCCCCATCCCCCAGGAGGGTGGAATGAGCTGGAGTGAAATGTGGACGTTATTCGGCAGTCTGTCGGGGTGAGAAGGGCAATGGGGGAGGTTTCAGAAGGGGCTTAGTCCATTCCACACCCTGATTCCCTCCAAGGTTCTCCTCCTGGCGACGGACTGTGACAAAGTGGAAATGTTCTGTAATATTTGTAGGAAACCTAGGCATGCCTCAGTTTCCCTCTGTAGAGCAGCGCAGAAGACATGATAGGTGTGTGTGTGTGCGAGAGAGAGACCTCGCTGGCTGGGCGGAATGACTGGGTCATTAAAGAACTGGTTGAAACCGACGTGTCTGAACTCAGCTGGAGAAGAAAAGGGAAAAGGTGTCAGGTGGCTGGAATACGGGCTACCTTTTCTCTGCACTAGAAACAAGACAGCATCACAATTGCAGAGCTGTGGCTGTGCCGCTGCTGTGTTTCTAGTACAGACCATTGGTACAGAGATGGAAGGGGGTAGTGAACCCATCTCTCCGAGAGGCAGTAATTAGGTTGACGGAAAGGCTGCTTTTTGGAGCAGCAGCTCTCACGTGGGTGGACAAAGAAATGGGGAGGGAGCCGGAGATGGACTCCATCACAGCTGGCTGGCTGATGGCACTGGCTTAGCCAGGATGGACTATGGCTTAAACTCTGCCTAGTCTCTGCTAACCTAAGGACTTCCAGTTTCTGTAGCCAGGGGATTAATAAATTGGTACCTTGCTTTGCAAAGGCTGCTTGTGTTGCTGCCAATATTCACTGAGCATTGCATCCTGAAAGGTCACTGATCAGGCCTACTCCAGGAGTTTGGCTGGGCTGGATTCACTGCAGGGAGCCACGGAGAGAGACAGGGATCACTGGTGCCTGAAGGCCCAGTCTGGGAGTCTTGGAGTCCATGGCCCTGCCCCCATGGAGCTGTGCGGGTCCTTGGGGCCCGGCCCACTAGTAGGGTCACTCCCAAGGGACTGGTGATAGGCTGGGACATAGACCAGACCCCATGGATCTTTGACACGAATGTTCTAAACTCTGTCTAGTTTTCACACCAGGATCATCCCTTGAATTTGCACCTGAAATTATTTTCCGTGCATTTCTCTCCCCGGTCTTCAGTGTGCTAATGGCATCTGTGTGCACAACTACAGTCATTTGCACATGAAAGTGTCCTGATTGAGTACTGAATTTTGGGTGCTAATTCAAAGGCTGTGTTTGAATAATTTGCCCCTTTTGCTTCTGAGCTTTTGGGGGATGTCGGTTTTTGACAGACCTTGATGGCCATTCTCTATTTGGATGTCAGGAAATAACTTTTGAATACAGCATGTGATCAATTCCAAAATGTCAGGGAATGTTTTAGGTATCAATGGTCAGAACTTTATTGATTTTGGGGGCAATTGGAAAACCAGAAGGGGGAAAATGGAGACCCTGCCATCTGTTCAGCCCAGCCATTGCTTCTCGCATCTCTGCAATTGTATTTAGATGAATGGTAGCCGTTAACACCTTGCATCAAAATAATACACCTATTTCATCTCTGCCCCTCTCCCCAGCAGAGCCTGCAAGGGTGTTATTTCGCACTAACTTTGCATGTTGACATCCTTAATGATTTCTCTCCCAGACAAAAAGAAGAAGAAATAATGGCCAGGGTAAGGGGCAATGAGAGGCTGTCACAAGTCCTGGAGAGCAGGGAGCACTCTCTACTGGCCACCTAGTAGGACTACTTTGAAGGGGATCCAAGCTCTGGATCCCCTGAATGCGTCGAGTATCTACAACCTCAGTGGGCAGCAACATTGCTTCCTCCATTGGCCTCTCTAGCATATTTCCAGGGCACTGATTCTGAGTCTGCCACTCTTTCTTGGAAATGGGGCTCCTCAATCCACCTGCCCTAGGCCCCAGGACCACCGCTGACCCTCCAAGCTACCCCACTTTCTTCAACACACCCTGTCCCAGAACTCCACCCAGAAGATTGACGCTTCTGCTTTATGGTTTAACTCTCATGGGCAGAGTTGTGGTAGCCATGTTGGTCCCAGGGTATCATTTATTGGACCAATGGAAGTTAGTCTAATAAAAGATATTACCTCACACGCCCTGTCTCTTTAAAAGGGCAGAGGCTGTCTGTTCGGGGGGTCTTTTTCTCCAGTCCATGAGGGAGAGACCACTCACCATGAGACAGCCTGCATGAGGCAGGGGACACCCTGCCTGCTTCTTTCCTGAGTCCCGATGGCCTCAGGGACTCCTGACCTCTCAAAGGAATTGGACCCCAGCCCAAAGAATGTCCTGGAGTGGTGAGGAAACTGAGGCAGGGCCAGGTGCATAGTACATATTGTTCTGTATGATCTGTACTCTCCTGTGCTTTACACAATTAAGTATGAAAGAGCATAAAAGTGTTAGTCTGTGCAAAGTGGGTGTGTGTGTTGACAGTTTTAAAACCTTCAGCCCCTTGGGTCACATGATCCCATTGCCAGCTTCCATACATAAGCACAGATCACTGCCAGCAGATTTCATTGCTCAGTTGACACCCCCCACTCCCACTAGACCAATTCTTGTGGACAGGGACCAGCACAGACAACTAGTGCCTCCTGATACTGGGGGTGGGGGCACAATCTAAAGGGAAGGACATGTGACTGCCCCATGTGTCTCTTCCACCCAGTGACCCCCTACCCTGTGCCCTGTCTGGGGCTACCATGCTCTCCCTACCCCACCAGAGTTACCTGGGTGGGGGAGGGGGCTCTGTCCTTCTCCCACTGTGCCTCCCTCAGCACGTTTGGCTGCTCTCCCTGACAGCTGGGCCCAGGCGAGGAGTGGGAAGGAGCTGCTTCTCATGCTGGCTGAAGCTGGCCGCACTGCATCGCTGCTCTGTGCAGCATGGCAGCTGTCTGAGAGAGACCCTGGCTGAGGAGGCAGCAGGCTGCCCCCTCTGCGCCCCACCTGGCTGCTGGGGACAGGGGCCAAGCGAGCCAGAGCCCTCCTCCCTCCCCCCCCCCCCCCAGCATGTTTCTGGCTCACTCAGCCCCTGTCCCTGGCAGCCGGGCAAGGAGCAGAGGGGGCTGGGTGGGCCACCTGCCCAGGCGGGCTCTCTCTCAGGCAGCCAATGCACTGCACAGAGCAGCGGCCGGTGTAAGAAACGGCTGGTTCCACCCAGGCCAGGGACAGGAGTCGAGCATGCAGGGGACAGGTGCATCGGGAGAAGGGAGCCCCTCTCGCTACTCCTTGGCAGGCCAAGCAGAAATCTGGGCCGGGGGGGAGGCACTTGACCCTACATGTCCTCCCTACGCATCGCCTATGGGGACCAGTCTTTTGTCCAAGGTGAATAGATTTCCAATGACTGGGTACTTAAGATCCATGCAGTGTTGTTGTAGTTGTGTCGGTCCCAGGATATTAGAGACAAAGTGGGTGCAGTAATATCTTCTACTAGACCAGTTCTGGGTAGTTAAGAGCCTTTGGGATTTTCAACCCAGCATGGATGGGGGCAAACAGGCCACAGAGAAAGCAGAACAAGGCCCGAGTTTGCAGCCTGACACAGACACAGACACAACAGTTCATAAAGGGAACAGACAGATTCCCAGTTCATCCCCAGGGACATGCAGAGCCAAGGCTGGAGTAGGGAATGGGGAACCCTGGCATGGGGGGGTGAGAAATGGGGGTGCACACAGCCCCTGGCATGTGTGTAGGGGAAATGGGACACCCTGGCATGGAGGAATGGGGAGTGGGGCTACACAGAACTTTGCATTGGGAGTAAGCAGACCCATGGCGGGGGAGCAGGAATCGGGACACACAAAGTCTCTGACATGACCTAGTGGGTGGGGGAGTAGCAGGGAATCTCTGCCATAGAGGGGGATGGGGGGGCCAGGAGTTGGGGATGGGGAATGGAGGGATACAAGGAGCCCCTGGTGTGTACAAGAAATTCGTTCTGCAACAGCAATCAACTGAGCAAGTCTATGAAACAAACACACACCTGGGCTCTACCCCATTCATCCCCATCCCCGTGTGCAATGGGTCAGGGGGAGGGACAGCAGAGACCAGGCACCCTGCGCCCTTAGCCGGAGCTTTTCACCCAGCGTCTCGAGCGCTTTACAACCAGCCCAGTCCTCTCCTGCCCGGCCCCAGCCCTTCCCCCGGGTCTCTCCCCTCACCTGCAGGCTCCGGGGCTGGTATCGGCAGAGCCTGGGGCTGCCCCAGGGGCTGGTTCCAGCCCCCGCAGAAAGTCCCCCGGCTGGGCACAGAGGCGGGTTAGTGCAGGTGACAGGTCTGTCCCCCCACAGACCCCGCTGCGGAGCAGCAGCGTCTCAGCCTGGGATCCCAGCTCACAATAGAGGCGGCGTCTGGTCTGACCCCAGGAAGCTCAACCCCCGCTATCTTTCCTGAGCAGAGGAATCTAACGCCCCCTAGTGACAAAACGCGATGAAACTGCTCTGATGCTCACCCCCCCCCGGTCAACGCCCTGAGAGGGGGGGCAGTCCAGCGTAGGGGGAGTCGGGGGGCTGGAGTCCTTTGCTCACGTACAGAAATAAGGAACAGAGGCTGAAGAGCAAATCTAAAACCAACCAAAGGAAAACCATGGGCCTCAGTCAGCCCGTTGGTGCTCAGGGTGTTCTCCGAGAGATGGCCCTGGGCTAACTGGGACCCATCAGCACTCAGTATTGTGCACTTCAACAGTTATCAGTCAGGAGCCAGGCTTCATTTGTAATGAAAGAGATGCTGGTGCTCAAGCAATATTTTTTTACTTTCATAACTGATGCAGCAAGCCCAGAGGTGCCGAAGCGCTGAACCGCCAGGCCCGGAGGTGCCGCTCAGAACCACCAGGCCCAGAAGTGCCGGAGCTCTGAACCACCAGGCCTAGATGTGCTGAGGTTGAGCCCTGGCACAAATTAAGTTCTGGTCATGAGTCAGGTCCCCAAAAATGGGATGGGTTTCAAAATCATGAATTTTTTGGTTAATAAAAAGGGTACACTTGGATTTTTGTTGTTTTTCTGCTGGTTTCTGAGCCTTTGAGGATCGCTCTGCTCACGTTTTCCACCTTTTCTCTTCAACTAAGAGAGCTAAAAACTTCCTTCTTTTTAATTGAAGGAAAGCTGAGACATCCAACTTTCAGTATAGAAAGCTATACACCCCCGTATCCTTGCATACGTATACAGCGCTTTGCACTTCTGTGGCACCTTCACATGCTCACACCTAGCAACCTGCTACCAAACAGGAACAGAGCTGCTGGCAGAAGGCATGCAACAGGAGACATCCTCAAATGCAGCCCCCCATCCTGGGTGGGTCACACTCAGCTTTGACACAGACTCAAGGGGCCCATGTCTCTCTGAAACACTTGCCTAGCACATCATGCAAACAGGATCTGATTGGCTTGAGGCTGTGTCTAGGCAGGTGCTGCAGAAAGGAGCATGGTGTGTGTGTGGGCCAGAGGCATCACACATTGCAGCCTCGGAGTCCCAGTGACCTTAGCTCCCCTCCCTGTAATTGTGTAAAGTCATTCTATTCTATTCTATTCTATTCTATTCTCTTAGCATATGAGTGAATTAGCCTGCAGCACTGGCCAGAGCTGGCACCAGGGTAGTCAGTGTCACAGCAGCATTAAACCTGGCCCTTGGAGTTGGCAATAGCCACTGGGAACAGTTCAGTGAGGAGATGCGATAAGGAGACATGAGAAAGTTCTTAGAGAACATGCCACTGTCTGTGTTGTGCTCCACAGACTTGAATCCCAGCTTTTATCTGCATGACCTCCCACCACCTTACTAGGGTGTAGCCACAATAAAAGGGGAAGGGATTAGTTGGAGCAGGTTGGCAGAGCTCTTACTGTGATATGAGGAGTGGTGGGTGTACTTCCAAGGATCAGTTATGCTTGATTTCAGAGCTGCGTTCCATAGGCTGTGTCAGTAGAGGTACACAAGGATGTCTCCTGGCCATGGGGACCATCAGCACTCTGGTGTTGGTAGAGATAGTTGGGGCATACTAGGCCTACCCCCATTGTGAGCCTAACTATGGGAGAGTAGATGAATGGTTGTAAAGTGGCCCAATCACCCATCACAACAAACATTAATGGCAGAAGGTAACACAAGTCCAAATCAGCCTAGTAGATAAAATTGTTTATAAAATCAGCAAAAGTAAAAAAATTGTAACAACAAAACCCCCTAAGCTAGTCTAAACAAAAAAGTTTACGGATGTAGCTCAAGGATGGTGTTGAGACCATGCCAGGGAAACAAAAAGAGCATGGGACATTGGGACCGGAAGTTAGTTGACCAAACTTGGCAAGCTAGGCCTAATTGGTGGCAGGGGCGCTGGAACAATTTGTAGAGTGGGGGTGCTGAGAGCCATTGAACCAAACTGTGAACCCTGTATATAATGGAAACCACTACAAGCCAGGGGGTGTGGCAGCACCCTCAGCACCCCTAGTTCCAGCACCTATGATTGGTGGACACAGTAATGAGAGGCTGGACTATTACACCCGTCACCCCTCTTTTGAGGCCCTTCAGAAGAGACTTTGGGAGGACAGGGGGCCCGATTGAGGGATTCTTGGAGGAGGGGGATGATTGTCACGTTTCCACTCTGCTCCAGGGATGTCATGCTTTGCCTGTCGATCTCAAAAAATCATTGCATCATTATAAAGCCCAAATCTCAGCCATCACCACCGCACCAGTGAAGACTCCACCTCTGTCTCTGTCTCCCCTTCCCTTGCACATTTCTTTCGGCCTCCCCACTATTCTTCCTCCTGTCCTGCCACTCTCTCTCGCTCTCTCTCTTTCTTTCTCTGTCTCGGCTCGCCGTTTAATCCTAAAGTCAATTCATAGATTCCAAGGCTCCAAGGAGCCACTGTGATCATCTAGTCTGATTGCCTATGTAACACAGGCCAGAGCAGATCTCCTAGAGCAGATCTTTCAGGGGGAAAAAATCCAATTTGCTTTACAAATGGTCAGTGATGGAGAATCCAGTCCGACACTTGGTAAATTGTTCCAATGGTGAGTTACTCTCACTGTTAAAAATTTACACATTATTTACATTTATTATTTATTTAATAAGGAGCTGGAGAGCCTCTTATTAAATATTGATTCCCCATGCAGATACCTATAGACCCTTATCAAGTCATCCCTTAACATTTCCGTAAGCTAAATCGACTGAGCTCTTTAGTGTATCATTCTAAGGCATGGTTTCTAATCCTTTAATCATTCTCAAGACTCTCCAATAAACCCTCTCCAATATATCTACATCCTTCTTCAATTGTGGGCACCAGAACTGGACACAATATTCCAGCAGCGGTGGCACCAGTTCCAGATACAGAGGTAAAATAACCTCTCTGCTCCTACTCGAGATTCTCCTGTTTAAGCAGCCCAGGATTGCATTACCTTATGTTCAGCTGATTACCCACCACAACGCCCAAATCTTCTCCACAGTCACTGTCTCCCTGGACAGTAAGTACAGCCGACATTCAGTGTTCCTAGATGTCTACATTGACATTTCGCCGTATTATAACACATATTCCCTGTGCCCAGTTCACCAACTGATCCAGCTTGCTCTGAATCAGTGACCTGCCCTTTCCATTATTTGCCACTCCCCCAATCTTGTGTCTTCTGCAAACTTTATCAGTGATGTTTTTATATTTCCTCCCAGCTCATTGATAAAAATGTTAAATAGCGAAGCAAGAACCAACCCCTGCAGGGCCCCCTGGAAACTCAACCACTTAATGCTGAATCCCTAGTGACAGTTACATTTTGAGACCTATCAACTATCCAGCTGTTAATCCATTGAACCTGCGCCGTGTTCATTTCCTGGCCTTCTAGTTTTTTCATCAGAATGTGGATTTTAATGCAGCTCATTCATTCCTGGCGGGGCCGGGCTCTGTTTGTTGCTGAGGGAGAGGAGGCTGCTAACGCTGGCTCTGCTCAGGATATCAGGGGTTGAGCTTCCTGGGTCAGATAGATTTGCAGATCGTGCTGCCAGTGCTTCCTCCATGGAAAGCCGGGAGTCCGGGCTGAGCCGCTGCTGCTGCTCGCCAGCGGGGTCTGTGCGGGGAGAGCCCTTCCCTAGCGCCCCTCTGTGCCTAGCCGCGGGGGCTTTCTCCTGGGGCTGGAACCAGCCCCTGGGGCAGCCCCGGGCTCTGCCGACACCAGCCCCTGAGCCGGAGCCTGCAGGTGAGGGGAGAGACCCGGGGGAAGGGCTGGAGATGCACGTAAAGCGCTGGGAGCTCTCTGGGTGACAAAGCTCCGGCTAAGGGTGCAGGGTGATCAGTCGCGGCTGTCTCTGCCCCTAGGGCAGGACTCTGAGCCTGACCCAGGGCACAGGGGCTGAGGGGTGAATGTGGGTGAAGCTCTTTGAAAGTCCCGAAGGGGAAGAGCTAAAGAGAGGCAGGGGAGGGAGGGTTGGTTTAGTGGCTTCCCATAGAAAACAGACACCCCAAAAAAATTCAGGGACAACAGAGGCAAAATGTGCCCCCCCCCATGTGGGAATCCCCTGCGAGGCTTTGGCATGCACACAGGTGCCATCTGCACATTCAGCTGGGGAGGAGAGGAATGCATGGAAAATAATTGTGGGAGTAAATTCAAAGGATGATCCCAGACAACAGGGCAATTTAAATGAATTTTCCCAGAAGGACAGAGGACGGGAAATCTCTCCCCTGCCCTTTGCACCCTGACAGGCTGCAGAGTACCAAGGGGAATGGAGGCAGTAGACCCAGCTCAGGTAGGGGTTGTCAGGGCGTTGTGCCGGTGGCTGGGGGCTTTGCCTGAATGTGCGGTGGGAAGGGGGGGGAGCAGGACATGCAGAAGGGGAGGAGACCAGTCAATTAAATTTCTGCTTTAATGTCAGAAGTTGGGCCTGAATAGCACCAGCTTTTAAGCTATAAAATATCTGACCACCCCCTGCTCGGTCTGGGCCTGTCCCCTTCCCGGTGTGTCTCTGAACCCCACCTCCCCAGCACCCTCCTCAGTCTGCTTCCCATCTCCCCCCCCCAATACATCCCCCTGCGCCCTCTTCATTCTGCCTCCCATATCCCCTGTCTCCTGCCAATCCCATCTCATGTCCCCCTGGGAACCCTTCCAGCTACCTCCTGACAGTCTCCTCAACACCCAAATCCCTGTGCGCCTTCCCCCATGCATCCAACCCTCATCTGCTCCCATCCCCCCACAAGCACATCCCTCTGTGCCCTCCTTTGTCTCCTCCCCCACCCCATGCAACCCCTGTCCAGACTTTGGCCTACCTCCCACTTCCACCCTCATATTCTCCTTCACCCTCCTCAGTATGCATCCTAGCTGCTGTCGCAGATCCACAGGATCGGTGCGACACCCCCAGTTTTTTAACAGTCCCTTGGGGGTTCCCCTTCAGTGGACCAGACCCCCCAGGGGTCCCAC